TTCTAGAAATGGGATTACTATGTCAAAGAGTAAATATATAGTCAATTTCTTGTGTATATTGCTGAATTTGATTCCCTAAGCATTGTGCCATTTTATATTCTTACTAGCGATGCATGACAGTGTAGGCTTCCATACAATCTCAGCAGCAGGTCATGTTGACAGGATTTAGGACTTTTTCCTTCAGGGTGATAGGTTAGAAATGATATTTCAGTATAGTGTTAATTTGCATTGATCTTATTATGAGTGCAGTTTAATATCTTTTCATGCATTGCATCATTTTTATATATGTTAAATGTGCAGTCTATGATGGTTTTTGCCCATTTTATGATGGAATTTTTGTTTTCTTCTCAAATTGTAATCTTTCTGTGATATTAGTTTTCAAAATATTCCCTTTCTTTTTTGACGTAGGTATGAAATTTTTTGCCATGTAAAGTTTTATTATTTAAAAAAAATTATTATTTTTGAATTATTTCTGGATTTTGAGTCATGGTTAGAAAAGCTTCCCCAATTCCATAATAAAAGAATTCATTGTTTTCTCAACACCAATGATTGAAAATGAATCTATATTATATACTAAATTTACATATGTAATTAGTTCTTCAGCTAGACCTTTTATTTTGTTTTTCCTGTTGGACTATTCATGTGCCAAAGCCATACTGGTTTAATTATAGAGGCTTTACTGAGTTTTCTAAATATATGTTATTGTGTGTCTCCTCATTGCTCTTCTTTATTAGGGTGTATCTAGCTATTCTTATTTTTTTACTGCTCTATAGGAACATTAGAATTGATTTATATACCTCTATAAAAATTTGTTAGTATTTTTATTGGAATCACTTTGAATGTATATGAAAATTAATGAGGGAAAAATGGTATATTTTAGTTTTGAGGCATCTTATTCAAGATGTCTTTCCACTTGATTTATTTCTTCTCATGTAGGTTTGTGTATTTCAAGTTTTCCTAGTTTTCTTTTTCCTGTTACTATTACATGTGGTGTATTCTTTTCTATTATATCCTTTATTGGTACATGCAAAGGCTTTTGATATTGTATGTCAATTTTATATTTTGTAATATTACTAAATTTTCTTGTTTTTAATAATTTTGGCAGCAATTATTTTGCAATGTCCAGTCATACTATTATGGCATCTGGAAATATAAATAGATATTAACATGGGTTTTTTTGGTATTTTAGAATATAATCATAAATATTGCTCCTTAGGTTTCTCAAGGTTAGATACTAACATTTGATTTGAGTAACAGGTGATTAAATATGAAGGTAGAGGAGAGAACTTTTGATGGCTTATTTCTTAGTTCAAGACCATGCCCTTCTGTTGACAGAGTGAAGCACAATTTCCTTATTAAGTATAGCCTTTTTTGGTGTGCCTTTATTTTTTAATTTTTTTAAAGGTTTTATTTATTTATTTGACAGAGAGGGCGAGAAAGCATAAGCAGGGGGAGTGGCAAAGGGTGAAGCAGGCTCCCCACGGAGCCACCCAGGCACCCCTTGGTGTGTCTTCAGATTCTATATTATCTTATCTCTGTAAGATCCTTTAGCTTCTTACTTCCTTCTTTACCTTTAATGCCACTCCTCCACAAGACACCTTGAAATTGTGAGGTGCTTCCCCCATGCACTTTCCCAGCCCCTTTCTGTCAATTCCCAGGAGCTAGGGCTCTGATCCCCCAGGGTTCAGACAGATTTTCATTAAGTTGGTACTTTCTCAGCTTTCCTGTTCCACCCCCTTCTCCCATGCCCCTTGTCTATAAAATCCTGCCTGACTCCTTTCTGCAAAGCAGCCTCTGGAGCTGACTTTGCTGGTGTTAATATTTCCCCTACTTAAATGTAAATTGAAGTTACTAATTTTCTCTTTCTCCTAGTCATGGCATAGGTTGTATTTTGGCTGATTTGTTTTTCCCTCTTAGTTTGTTTTCAGTATGTGTGGAGAGATTTGAATTCAGGTGGTTACCATGATCCCACAGGAAGTTGGAATTTCTCTTGCTGGTGTTAAGTAGCAGTGTCTCTTGACTGTATACTTTATTATTTTAATCAACATGCACTAATCTAACTATAGAAGTTCTATTGCTTTTTTCACTACTATTTAGTCACCTTTTTAGTTTTCTATAAAATATAAGTTTAAAATGAATCTGTAGGGGTGCCTGGGTGGCTCAGATGGTTGGGCGTCTGCCTTCAGCTCGGGTCTTGATCCCAGGGTCCTGGGATCGAGTCCTGCATCGGGCTACCTGCTCAGCGGGGAGCCTGCTTCTCCCTCTGCCTCTGCCTCTCTCTCTCTCTCTCTCTGTGACGCTCATGAATGAATGAATGAATGAATGAATGAATGAATGAATGAATGAATAAATAAATAAATAAATAAATAAAACATTTAAAATGAATCTGTATATATGATGTAAAATTTTATAGGTGGTTTTCAGTTTTGAGATTCCTCAATTAATATTTGATAATTTAGTTTAATTTTTATGAGGCAGCTCATCATTATTTAAATATAATAATAAAAAAAACCTATTTAAGCCTTTATACACATCTCTACAGAAATTGCGTCAATTTTTTTTATGCCTCAAGATATGATACCTGAAAAGTAATGTGGTTCTTTGACATTCTGATAGTCTGAGGGTCCTTATCAGGGAGGTGTATCTGAATCCTCTGGAATAAATTTACAAAATACTTTTTACCTGGTCTATACCCCTGGAATAGAGGTTTTAAAATTTTCTGCATATTATTATCTTCTGTGGAGTTTTGAAGAATCCAGATGCTTATTCCACATGCCAGACCCACTATTAAATTGGAGTTTGTGGAGGCAGTATCCCTTCCATCAGTATAAGGCCTGATTAGAGCTCAAAATCATGTCTTGGAAATATTGATTCATATACCTATGAATCACACACATGATTCACACACAGTTGATGTAGGAAAGATGTTAGGGTTCGAAGCCAATGGCCAAGAAAGAATTCTTGAGACATCTTTGGTACAAAAAGGTGGTTTTATTAAAGCATGGGAAAAGACCCACGGGCAAAGAGTTGCACCCGGGTCATGAGGAGTGACCCATTATATACTTTCAAGTTGGAAGGGGTTAGGGATAGCATAAACCTCCCAGATATTTTGGAAACAAGGTTTCCAGGATCCTTAGGGGGCTAGCTATTGTTAGAAAAAGGTCATTTATTACTGTTTAGTAAGAACTCAGTCATGAGACTCTTCAGATGTATATTGGTGGGTCATATGCTTGGAGGATGATTGCCAACATGTATCTTGGGGGATAAAGATAAAAGAAGCTTCCAAAGGAATTTTCATATGTTATGGAAGACTTACAGAATCCTGGGGGTCAGGCTAAGATTGCCTTTTGCCCTTAGCAAAGTATTAACATCAAGGCAACTGAGTTCCTAGAGGAATGTCACTCTGCCTGTTCCAAGGACTTGTCAATGGGCTGTTAAGTAGTAAGATTTTTTTTTTCTTCTGCCTTTGTTTCCCACATCACAACCACAGTTGAGAACGAGTGGTGCTTTTTGAGACCACAGCTCAATACTCCTTATGAGCTAGTTGAAGAAACATGGTTCTAGAATTTTTTTTTTCTTGCCATCCTAACACATAGCTGTATTTCTGAGATTTTAGGTCAAATCAAGATCTTCCATAGTATCAAGTAATGCTAAGGAAATATCTCCAGTTAGGCATATATCTCTACCAGTTACTACTACTGCTCTGCAAAACTTAACAGAAGTTCTAATCTGTGGGAAGAGAAAGTAATTTGGAATTTCCAAAGCTTTACTAAGCATACTTTGGAAAAGCAATCTCTTTTTCATTTTCAACTAGAATTGTGATTTCTATGGTGTCTATGGTTTTTAAGTCATCTGCTGAGAGATTGCTTCAGAATCAACTGGGAAACTTGATAAACATGCAGTTTCCTAGACCTCACCCCAAGAGAATTGGATTGAGGAGGTTTGGGGGTAAGCTCAGGAGTCAGTGTTTTTAACACACCACCAGATGATCCTGAAGCATTCAAAATCACTGTGAGGGGGTGCCTGGGTGGCTCAGTTGTTAAGCATCTGCCTTCAACTCAGGTCATGATCCCAGAGTCCTGGGATTGAGTCCCATGTCGGGCTCCCTGCTCAGCGGGAAGCCTGCTTCTCCCCTTCCCACTCCCCCTGCTTGTGTTCCTCTTTCACCGTCTCTCTCTGTTAAATAAATAAATAAATAATGTTAAAAAAAATCACTGTGAGCTCTAGCTTATGCAAAGGTGCAATCCAGAGGAACTTGGTAGAAAGTTTCAGGAATTCTGATTGCTTCAGATCCCCAGAGGCACAAATAGAAAAGATGTAGGTTTCACTTTCATGACATTCACCAAATATTCACATTGAGATTTAAAAATGAAATAACTTTGCCATCCCATAGTTGAAGAAAAAAAGACATAGTGCTCATATGTTATGGAAATTGTTTTCATCAAATCTTTTGGCCAGATTAGTTACATTATCATATTTCTAAATCCATTAACAGTATCCTTTCCTGTAGGTTTTCAGCAGTAACCATGGGAGAACCAAAATACATCTTGTGGATCTGTTAATATGTGTTTATCCCCCTTCAGGTGAATCTTATGATATTTGCCAGCTTTGCAAATGTAACTCCTAGTTCAATATATTCTGTATGATAGAATGAATTTGAAAAAATTGTTGTAGTCAAACTTTTCTTTTTCTTAGAGAAGTTGCTACCCAGTACATGTGACCTCATTAGAATTTTTCTACAATCTAAGTTTTAGAGGTTAAGGCAGTGATTCTTAATATTTTGGATCAAGGATTCTTTGAGAATCTGATGAGAGCCTTGGAACTGTCTTACCCAGATACTTGAATATATTCAAATGAAATAAAAATCTCCATATAATTTTAGGGAATCTATTAACATTCTAAATCTCTTTAGAGCCACACTGCAGGTTAAAAATTCCTGATATAAGAAAGGTTGTATCTATGCAAATTTATAACTTAATAGGATTTTATATGTTTTTCAGGTATCTGTACAAGAATGAAATTCATGCCCTAGATAAGCAAACATTTAAAGGACTCATATCCTTGGAACAGCTGTAAGTAATAAAAACTTCTTTATTGAATCATTGATAGTTACAGTTCAAATAGAAGTTTTTAAATGCCATTATGTGATAGTTGAGCAATTATTTAAGTTTTGTCATGCGGCTTGAATGATTGAATATTCTGTCATCAGTTGGATAAAAATCAGAATGTATGATCGAGTTGGCATGAGGGCAGGAAGACAGACAGAGATCAGCTGGAATCCCAGCTCCTGCATTTATTATTTGTCTGTTGAGCAAGTTGCTTTCCCTGAGTCTCTGTTTCCAAATCTCTGAAATGAAGATATTTCTACTGTGAAGATTGTTATTCCATGCAAAGAGTCTGGTTTATCACTTGACACAAAATAGACATTTCATAGAAAATAGATATTGATACCTGTGATTACTATTAATTTATCAAGTTCATAGATATTTAACTGATATGGGATTTCCTAGAGCATGAGATCTAACCTCTCATTTGACAAATTAATAACCAAATCCAATGTTAATTAAATGACTTGCCTGAGGTTAAAAGTTTGTAGAATTATCATTACAACCTAGATCTCCTGACTGCTATTCTAGTGCACTTTTCAGTATTTGACACCTTACTGCTGGTTTCAAGAATAGTTTGAAATCCCATAACTTTAGTTTCACTTTTCAGAATTTCAGTGTGAAATACAAATTCTTCAATATGAAAAAGTTATGTTATATAGCTATACTGCTACTGAATGACAATTTGATGTTTCTTCAGATATTTCTCTCAATTTTTAGAGTCTGTGATGCAAACACTAATTAGATATTTGAAGAGATTTTTCCTCATTTATGACAAGCTATGAGATATTTATCAGCTTAGATATATAGAACGCACCTTGATCTTTAATAAATCAGACTCTTAAATATCAGAAACTTCGACTTTCAGCTTTGTTTCTATCTTCAGTGTGGCTTCTTATTTTCAAAAGGCTATTTGCAATCATTTCTGTAATAAACATGTTTCTATAACGGTCCAAAGAAATCTAGATTTTAGATTATATTAAAACATGATCAAACACTTTTTAAAAATTATTGTTTCTGTTTACTTCTCCCCTTATTTTCTTTTACATGGCTAATGAGCCATCCTATGACAAAGTGTGTTTCTTCACCTTTACGTAATTTTTACTGTATTGTAGAACCATCACAAAAACCAATTAAATATAACTTCTTTAATAACAACAACAAACAAAACCCTTATCACTGTGATGTGTTTTTCATCAAATATATTCACAGATGGTTTATAAAAATTAACATATGAAAAGTTCTAATTCTTGTTTAAAGTGCACATAATTCTCATCAGTAAATGCTTTATATTCTGATAATAATTATTGGCCTTACTAATATTGAGTAATACTATTGTTTAAAGCCATGGAAATAGGCATTTCTGCTTGCTAATTTTAAAGCACGATTCCATGCTCTTGTGAATCACTATTCAAAGAGGATTTTTGGAATCCAAATATGTAATCTCTAATCCTTGGAATTTTTCATAATTTTAATTAGAGCTCTGAAAGCCAATTCATTTCAGTATATCCCTATCAAACTAAAGAAGAGCTTGAGATGCCTGAAATATTTGTTCTTTAGGATCTATATACATGGCCTTTCTTTTAATGATTCTTATTGTTCATAATCCTTTTTGAGTTAAAATCCTTTTTGAGGAAGGGAGGGACACATGATAGATGTTTGCATAGCCTTGAAAATATAGTAGGGCATTGTAATGCCAATTCTGCTACTGACATGATTGTTTACATTCAGCATGAAAATACATTTTTGATTTTCCTGTAGTCTTCGAGACATAGTCTGTGATCTAAAAAAAAAAAAACAGGAATGAGAATTGGGGAAGGGATATTGAAGAAAGATTTGTTAGTCTAAATCTTTTTTTTTTTATCTTTTGGTTAATTGAAAATTCAATAAACTACATTCTTTTTTTTAAGATTTTATTTATTTATTTATTTATTTATTTATTTATTTATTTATTTGAGAGAGAGAGAGACAGTGTGTGTGAGTGGTGGGGAGAAATAGAGGGAGAGGGAGAAAGAGAATCTTAAGCCCACTTCATGCTGAGCACAGAGCTGACAGAGGGCTTGATCTCAAGACCCTGAGATCATGGTCTGAGCTGAAATTAAGAGTTGGAAACTTAACCAACTGAGACACCCAGGTGCCCCAAACTATGTTCATTTTTTAAAACCACTTTATTGAGGTATGATTGACATACAAAAGGCTGTGCATACTTAATGTAAACAACCTGATGAGTTTGGGATTAAGTATATACCCGTGGAATCATTGCCACAATCTATGCCATAAATATATCCATCACTTCCAAAAGTTTCCTCCCATCTCCCTAGTATTATTATTATTTTTTATAAGAACATATAACATACCCTCTTAAATTTTTAAGCATACAATTCAGCCTTAAGTTCTGAAACTATAACACTACCAGAAGAATACATAGAGAAAATCTTCTTGACATTGGTCTTCAATGATTTCTTGGATATGAAAGCGAAAGCACACTCAACGAAAGCAAAAATAAACAATTAGAGCTACATCAAACTAAAAAAAGCTTCTGTACAACAAAGGAAACCATCAACAAAATGAAAGGCCCCTTATGTAATGGAAAAAATACTTGCAAACATATATCTAATAAATCCAAAATATATGAGGAACTCCTACAATTCAATAGCAAAACCCCAAATAACCTGATTAAAAAAATAGGCAAAAGACTTGAATAGATGTTTCCCCCCAAATGACTTACAAATGGACAAGAATTATATGAAAATGTGCCCAATGTCACTAATCATCAGGGAAATGCATATGAAAACCATCATGTGAAGTCACCTCACACTTGTTAGGATGGCTATTATAAAAAAAAAAAAAAGTGTTTGTGAGGATGCTGTAAAGAGAATTCCTTGCACAGTGTTGGTGGGAATGTACATTGCTGCAGCCACTACGGAAAAAAGTACAGAGGTTCCTCAAAAAATTAAAAATAGAATTACCATGTGATCCACCAACCCCACTCCTGAGTATTTATTCAGAGAAGTTGAAATCAGAATCTCAAAGAGATACCAGCACTCCCATGTTCACTGCAGCATTATTTATAATAGACATTTGTCCACTGACAGATGAATGGATAAGGAAAATGTGGTATATACATACAATGGAATATTATTCAGGCTCAAAAAAGAAAGAATTCCTGCCATTTGTGATAACCTGGATGAATTTGGCGGACATGATGCAAAGTGAAGTAAGCCTGACACAGAAGTACAAATACTACATAGTACCACTTATAAGAGAAATCTAAATAGTCAAACTCAAAGAAGCACAGAATATAATAGTGGTTGCCAGGGGATGGGGGAGGGAGAAATGGAGAGGTGTTAATCAGAGGGTACAAACTTTTAGTAATGCAAGATGAATAAACCTTAGAGATCTACTATACAAAATAGTGACAAACCACATTTTGCTTTAAGGATAAATGCTCTCTTTATATTGTATAGAATATCTTCCATGTGTTGGCTACATGAAGAGAAATTATGTGGTTAAATACAACAAAATTATAAATTAAAGCACAAATGTTATTTTTTAAATTTTATTATGTTATGTTAATCACCATACATTACATCATTAGTTTTTGATGTAGTGTTCCATGATTCATTGTTTGCATATAACACCCAGTGCTCCATGCAGTACATGCTCTCTTTAATACCCATCACCAGGCTAACCCATCCCCCCAACCCCCTCCCCTCTAGAACCCTCAGTTTGTTTATCAGAGTCCATAGTCTCTCATGGTTCGTCTCCCCATCCGATTTGCCTCCCTTCATTCTTTCCTTCCTGCTATCTTCTTTTTTTTTAACATATAATGTATTATTTGTTTCAGAGGTACAGGTCTATGATTCAACAGTCTTACACAATTCACAGCGTTCACCATAGCACATACCCTCTCCCACATCTATCACCCAGCCACTCCATCCCTCTCACCCCCCACCACTCCAACAACCCTCAGTTTGTTTCCTGAGATTAGGAATTCCTCATATCAGTGAGATCATATGATACATGTCTTTGTTATTTTGAGCATTAATAAGGCACAGTTATTTCTGTAGAATAATTTATATTCTTATATTGATTGTGCCAGGGCAGTGAATAGAGTAAGAAGTAATTCTCTTTATAAAAATTAGAATGATTGAATTTTTATGTAGGAAGATAGAATTATTACATATTAAGAAAGAATGTATTGAGCAAATAATCCTAAAATTTATGTGGAACCAGAAAAGACCCCAAATAGTCAGAGGAATGTTGAAAAAGAAAAGCAAAGCTGGTGGCATCACAATTCCAGACTTCAAGCTCTATTACAAAGCTGTCATCATCAAGACAGTATGGTACTGGCACAAAAACAGACACATAGATCAATGGAACAGAATAGAGAGCCCAGAAATGGACCCTCAACTCTATGGCCAACTAATCTTTGACAAAGCAAGTAAGAATGTCCAATGGAACAAAGACAGTCTCTTCAACAAATGGTGTTGGGAAAATTGGACAGCCTCATGCAGAAGAATGATACTGGACATTTCCTTACACCACACACAAAAATAGACTCAAAACGGTTGAAAGACCTAAATGTAAGACAGAAGTGCATCAAAATCCTTGAGGAGAACACAGGCAACAACCTCTTTGACCTCAGCCACAGCAACTTCTTCCTAGACACATCACCAAAGGCAAGGGAAGCAAAGGCAAAAATGAACTATTGGGACTTCATTAAGATAAAAAGCTTTTGCACAGCAAAGGAAACAGTCAACAAAACCAAAAGACAACCGACAGAATGGGAGAAGATATTTGCAAATGACATATCAGATAAAGGGGTAGTATCTAAAATTTATAAAGAACTTATCAAACTCCACACCCAAAGAACAATCGATCCAATTAAGAAATGGGCAGAAGACATGAACAGACATTTTTCCAAAGAAGACATCGAAATGGCCAACAGACACACGAAAAAGTGC